TCTGGAAAGTCTGCACTGGGATTGTCATCAGTCAACAAGCATTTATTAAGCAATTACTATGAGCCAGTCATTTTGCTAAGTGCTGGAAATACAAAGAAGGGCAAAAATACAATCGATGCCTTTCAAGGAGCTCACACATATATAAGCAATTATGTACATAAAGGTACCTACAGGATAAACAGGAGGTAATCTAATACTAACAATAGAGGCATGGTGGGTGGTGGGAAAGGCCTCTTGCAGGTGAGATTTGAGATGTACTGAAGGAAGCCAGGGAACACTGGAGATGGAAAGCAGGGAGAGGATTCCAGTCATAGGAGACAGGCGGCAAAAAAGCTGAGTTGGCAGAAGGAGCATTCTATTCCAGAAAAGTTAAGTAAGCCAGCGTCACTGGACAGTAGAATACTCAAAGGGGAGTAAAGTATAAAAAGACTGGAAAGGTAAGAAGGGGCCAGGTCATGAAGGACTTTCAAAGTCATACATAGCACTTTATGTTCGATCCTGGAGGTAATGGGGAGCCACTGGGGTTTATTCATTTGACAGCTGAGCGGAGGGGGGAATGAGTGGGGAGAGATTGAAGGCAGAAAGACCAATCAGTGAGCTACTGCAACAGTCCCGGGGAGAGATGGTGAAAGGGCTGGGGGCAGGGGAGAGAAGAGAGGGAACTGCTTAAATAAAGACAATAGGACCTTTATAACCACTGTGATAAGAGCTTAATCTGGTCTGTGATAAAATAAAATATTTGACATGAAATAGAAATTAGGGAATTTTCAAACCCTTACAATTGTCCAGATGCAATATGCACAAAAGCTTGAGATAAAGATATAGTTGCAGGATGTGATCTGATTTTTCCGTTGAACAAATAATACAAAGTATGCTCTCCAGATAAGAGTTATGATTATATTAGAAGAATCAGGATGCAAACTTTCTACTGTGTAATAGCTTTGGCTAAAGGGAATCAGGCTATCTACTGGTTAATAGAAAAAAATGTTATTTTTGGGTTCCAACTACCATTAAACTGGACCACCTTACATATATGTGAATGCCAAGTTTTATCTCTACCAATTGTTTGCTCTCTGTGCCTCAATTCAGGACAATGCCATAATGCTGGCACAGTGTTCTAACATAGAAGGATAGCTCTTGTCATTTCACTGCTTTGTTGGCTCTAATGCATTAAAACACAGAGAACTTCTTATTTTGCATTAGCAAGTTATGCTTCAGCACAAAAAGGGGAGGAATGTAGAAGCAGATGAAAGCCCTCCGTTTTAGTTCAACTGAAAATAGAAAATAAAATCTAAAGTCCTTTCCAGAATTTTCCCTTTAGGAAAATGTGTAAAAGGTTAAGAATAAAAGCTACGTAAGCCTGGACCAAAAGCCTTAACAGTGGTAACTGTGCTAACAAGAAACACCTCATCTAGTTAAGATCTTTGCCCTCTTTCCCCATTCTGTAGGGATTGGGTTGGTGATCTGAGGGAGGTGGTCACTTTGATTACTTCAGGAGAGCCCTTTGGGGGAGTGGTCAGAGAAGGATGAATGGTTTCAGAAGAATGATTCCCCAGGGGTCTTCAGGAAAGATAAGGTGATTAAATGTTCTATTAGATGAAGTATGTTAAACCCAAACTGTGTTTTATCATATTGTGGCTTTTTTTTTTCAGGATTCCTATGAATATTACTTAAAATATCCTGTGTTAGAGAGACACCCGAGGTAGTGAAGGGACTCTGCCAGTTTGGCTAATTTCCTCTCAAGCAGCCAAAGCTTGAGTGTAGAATAATAAATAAATAATAAATTAGATTAATAATAAAAATATAAAAATTGTTTCAGGCAGATGCAGAGTACAGCATACATAGGAAATATATGTACACACATATACATACACATACACATGTATGTATACACACACATACCTATATGTGTATATAAACATTTTTATTTATTCCCCCCATGCCCCCCACCTGGTAAATCCCTTCACAAAACTCTGGCTAGGTTAATTGGAATTGCTTGACTTCTTTTCAAATATACATTACAGGTGATTAGACACCAATCTATTAAGGGAGATTTCTAAAAGAATTACCTCCAAAAAAATCTCACTGGACTAAAATATTTTTAGTGTTGATGTCTTGCAATAAGCATTTCTCAAACCCCTATAATAAAGTCCAGAATTATCCAACAGCTGTTGTGTTTCTTACCCTAGAGGATCTTATAAGCTAATTATATTAATACTGATGAAGCAGAGAACTAAATCAGAAACTTTATGATGTAAATACAAACAGTGCCCTAAAAGCTAAAAAAACCAATAAATTTGTTGAGGGCCGATCTTAAGAGTCTGATAAGGGTTTAAGATCCAAGGCATAGTTTGACCTCTGTCCAGGCTTTTACCCAAAAGGGCTCGCTGATTAAGTGGTACGGCTCCCCACTTCCTTCCTAATTTAGGGTCTCTGAGACATTCCTTCTCTCTATTTGAACCTTAGATTTACATATTCACTCCTCTATGCAGGTGGCACCAAGGCACCTGGGAAAACCTTGGAATCTACAGCCCAATCTAGGAACCCTGATAAGGAAATTCATGATTGTCCCATCCTCAGCAGATGTTCTGGGGAGTATCTCACGGGGAGGACTCTTTGAGGTTAGGCTAAATCTTCCCTATATATATTCTGTGCCCTCAGATGAATAAACGGAGTCAGTAATTCTACTCCGCCTGGCCCACATCATAAGTTATTTCACGCCTCTCCATTCGGTGTACAATCTGGTTGCGGGCAACATAAATTAACTAAGGGTTGTTCTTCCAGTACCTCGTGAGGCCCCTCCTGAGCTTGAGGGCATCCTAGAGTTTCTTTCTCTTATCTTGATATACCATAAAACTTCCCCCCTATCCTGGACCATAACAATTCCTTGTCTCCCTCATCCTGAGTCATAAAATTTCCTGTCTTCCTTATAATGGGTCCCCTATCTTGTCATCCATCTTCCTCATCCTGTGTCATGACAATTCCCCCTTATCTTGTAACATAAAACAGGCCCCTTGTCCTGTAAGTTGCTAGCCCTCCTTCCAGGACTAGGCTGATCCAAAGCTCCCAACAGTTACAGAGAAGGTCTAAGTGAATTCTTTCATACCTGAACCAGCTCTCTCAACTCTAACCTCAACACTTCATGGTAATATTAAGTAGAAAAGTTCTAGGATATTATTGAGAAATTGTTTCAAAAGGCAAGAGCAAAGGATGTGTTCTTCAAAAGATTGATCTGTAGGACCTCATTCAACTCCATCCCATCCCAATGTCTGTTGTAATGTAAAAGCTGGGGATAAAATATATTTTCTTCATTGCTTCAAATGGAAATAGAGTTCCCCCTATTCCTATCCCATCTCTAAAAAGTTTTATAATATTTATCTTTTGAAAGAAGCTATTAATTAGGAGAAGAAACTGTACAAGTGCTTTGGATGAACTATAGGCCTTGAAGCTCCCTTACAGGGGAAATTTTCCATATTCTCTGAAGTATGATTAGACAAAAAAACCCCAAAACAACCCATTAGAAAGTCTAGTCATTTTTAAGCAGAATAAGAAAATGAATGCAAAACAAGTTATTTTATTTTTGTAAAGTTCAGATGCCAAATCAATAAAATTGTATTGAGCACCTATTATGTGCAAGGCACTGTGCTAAGTGCTGTGTGGGCTACAAAGACCTACAAGACAGTCCCAGCTCTCAAGGAGCTTCATGTGTGAAAAATTAAATAACATTTAAGTATTTAAATAACAGTTCAAGCCAACAATAGACACCACAAGAAGGTACATGATTAATTACCAAATGAACCATACAGACAACAATTCTTATTCAGAGTAGGGGGAAGTCACTCAGTCTGGAAGGGGGAGGTCAAGAAAGTCTTTTAGAGATGTGAGATTTGAGCTGGTTTTTGTAGGATGGGCAGAGAATTAATGGGGAGAGCATTCCACGGCATTAGAACTCTGTAAGAGCTGAGGCAGCAAAGTGAAAAGGTGGATCAGCCAGAGGTGAGCAAACCAGTTGGGATGAAGCCAGGAGTAAACTGTAGCAAGATTTTGTTAACCCTTGGACTGCCAAGTTAATGACTTTAGACATTATCTTCAAAGGCCAAGGGGGACCCACAGAAGGTTTTTGAGCAGAGGAATACCTGTGACTAAGCACAAGGGACACTTTCCTCACTCTCATTATACTTTCATGTCTACTACCCAGGGGAATGTCTCTGATATATAAGGGTAAATTATACTCCAGGCCATCTTCTAGGCAGTGTTAACAATGTGCCCCTTCTGAATTCCCCGATGTGCAGTAAGTACTGAAGTGACTTAATGCTGGCATAGCAAGGAAGGGCTCAGGGTTAGTTGGTGAAAGCAGGAAAGCAGTAGCTGTGCTCAAGGGCACTGAGGGGTCTTCTGGCACGCTGACAATGTCTGCGGCCAGCACACAAAAGAAGGGAAAAGTAAGACTTTCATTTTGTGTCTGAAGGTTGGTCCTAGTCATACCACATGTGCAGGGCTGATGGTGTTAGGAGGGAAAGAGCAGGAGGCAGGTGGATGGGATCTTGCTTAATCACAGTAAGTGCTAGTGGAGTAAGTGCTCTTAGATGTTGTTCTTTGTGTCTGTGGGTTTCCTTTGTGTTGTGACTGCTCCTCTGGCAAGTTTTATGTGCCAAGCCATGCTGTTGATCTGCCAAAAATCTTGGGACACAGAACATCAAAGGGAGAGGTCTCTGATGAGTCTGTGTCACAAGGTCAGCAAACCCCCGCATTCTTGGCAGAATCTTCTGATCCATTCCCTTTCCTTTAGGGTACCTTGGTCTCAACCATGACAAGGGACCATGACACTGAAGATTATTTTCCATACATGGAATTCATACATATAAGCAGCACAGGGTAATGGAAAGTTCACTGGACGTGGATGTAGGGGATCAGGAGTCAATTCTTGGTTCTAATACTTACTAGATGTGTGACCTTGGATGAGTCACTTAGCCTCTCTGAACCTGTTTCCTCATCTTTAAAATGGGGATAATACTTTACTACCTACTTCATAGGGTTGTTAAGAAAACAATCTGCAAACCTTAAATGCTATATAAATCTGAGCTGTTATTACCATATATTTTAATTCATGACATTTCTATACAGTATAAGGGATAATGGAAAGAGCAAAGGACTGGGAGTCAGGAAACCTAGCTTTTAGTCGCAGCTCTGCCATTTATCAGCTGGGTGACCTTGAAGAAGGGGGTTGACTATACGACCAAGGAAGACTCTTCCAACACTAATATTTTATAATTCTATGAGTCCTCTGATGTTTAAAAAGGGAGGAACTCTGGCTGAAGGCCTTTCCACATTCATTACATCCGTATGGTTTCTCTCCAGTATGAGTCCTCTGGTGTTTAATAAGGGATGAACTCTGGCTGAAGGCTTTCCCACACTGATTACATTCATAGGGTTTTTCTCCAGTATGAGTTCTCTGATGCTTAATGAGGGATGCAGTGTGACTGAAGGCTTTTCCACATTCACTGCACGTATAGGGTCTCTCTCCAGTATGACAACTCTGGTGTAGTGCAAGAGATGAACTTTGACTGAAAGCCTTCCCGCATTCATTACATTCATAGGGTTTCTCTCCAGTATGAGTTCTTTGATGCTTATTAAGTGATGAAGTATGACTGAAGGCTTTCCCACATTCATTGCATTTATAGGGTTTCTCTCCAGTATGAGTTCTCTGATGCTTAATAAGAGATGAAGTATGACTGAAGGCTTTCCCACATTCATCACATTCATAGGGTTTTTCTTCAGTATGAATTTTCCGATGTTTTGTAAGAAATAATATGTGACTGAAGGCTTTTCCACATTCACTACATTCATAGGGCTTCTCCCCGGTATGAATTGTCTGATGTTGAGTAAGATGTGTTCTTCGACTGAAGGCTTTCCCACATTCATTACATTCATAGGGTTTTTCACCAGTATGAATTCTCTGATGTTTAACAAGGGAGGAGGTGTGACTGAAGGCTTGCCCACATTCATTACATTTATAGGGCTTCTCTCTAGTATGAATTGTCTGATGTTCAGTAAGGTGTGTGCTCCGGCTGAAGGTTTTTCCACATTCATTACATTTATAAGGTTTCTCTCCAGTATGTATTCTCTGATGTTCTGTAAGGTGTGTACTCCGGCTGAAGGCCTTTCCACATTCATTGCATTCATAAGGTTTCTCTCCAGTATGACTTCTCTGATGTTTAACAAGAGACGAGGTGTGCCTGAATGCTTTCCCACATTCATTACATTTATGGGGTTTCTCTCCAGTGTGAAATCTCAAGTGTAGAGTGAGGGATGAACTCTGACTGAAGCCTCTCCCACACTCATTACATTCATAGGGCTTCTCTCCAGTATGAGTTCTCCTATGTCGAGTAAGTTCTGAGTGATAACGGAAGGCTTTTCCACATTCATTACATTTACAAGGTTTGTTCCGCAAATCAATTTTCTGATGGCTAATTGTTAGTGTATTTTGTTGGAAGTTATTTCCATTTGCATCATATTTATACGATTTGTCTCCCATAGGAACTTTGTGTTGTGCAACAAGGATGGAACTTAAATTGAAACTTCTTCCAAGGTCATTACATCTATGGTCTTTTTCCCAGATTGGTAATTGCTTGTGGTTGATTGGCACTTCCTTTAAATATGTTTCCTGATTTCTTGGCTCCCCTTGTAACCATGTTTCATGTTCCCAGGCATCACCTGACTTAGAATTCCAAAGGCTATCTCTTGTGAATCTTTGAATGATCACTTCTTGAGATAATCCTTCTTCAGACACATCCTGCTTTACAGTTTCCTTGATTTCAGTCCTGGTCCCCAAGTCTGAAATAAATGAAAAATAAAATAAAATAAAATAAAATAAAATAAAATAAAATAAAAACGTCCCTTGTTCCCTGTACTCAGGATGTTGTGATAAAACTGAAAATAATGTACGTGATGTACATATTTCTTTGAGAGCTCACAAATAGTGTCTTGTAACTGATGAAAAAGATAGGAAATGTCAGGAGAGAAGAACAATGGTGTATAAATTAAGCCCAGATAAGAATAACCCATCAGGAAGGATTACAAGATCAGAATGGCAACCATGGAACCAAACTAAGTAGAACGCCACCACCTTATGCCTAGATTGTAATAGGTTTCTAGTTTGTTTCTCTAACTCCAAACTCTCCCATTTTAAATCTCTCTTGAATACTACCACTAGACCTTCTTCATCTGAAACCCAACATGTACAAAACAGAAACCACTATTTCAATCCACCCCATTCCAAAATTCTCTATTTCTACTAAAGTAACCACCATTCTTCTAAACCCTTGGGTTCATAACCTTAGTGTTATTCTCAACTCTTCATTCTCTCACATCTAATATGAATCAGTTGTCAAATCTTGATGTTTCTACATTTACATCTCTCACACCTGACCTTTTATTCTCTATGTACATGGCAATCTCCACCTTGGTTCAGGTCATCACCTCCTGCCCAGACTATTGCAATGACCTCTTAATTGGTTTCTCAATCTCAACTGTCTCCGTACTTAACCCATCTTGTTTTCCACACTGCTGTCAGTGACTTTTCTTAAATACAGATCAGACCATGCCACTATCCTGTTCAATAAACTTGAGCAGTGGCTCAGATGGCTCCTAATTGCCTCCAAGATGGAATATAAATGCTTCTATTTGGCTTTTAAAGCCCCTTACACCTGGCTCCAAGTTATCCTTCTAACCTCATTACTCCTCTTCCCTAATTCTACAGTCTAGCCAAATTAGCCTTCTTTCTGTTTCTCACATAACTTTTATTTTTAAATGTAACAAATTCATCACATTTCAAAGCTCTGTGCATTTTCAAAATGATCCCATGACACTCTTTTCTTACTTTATTTTTCTTTCATCCATTTAAGTAATCCTAGCACAAGCTCGTCTGAATCCCCCAGATCCCCCACCCCCACATAATGAAATGAAGAAAATCAAAACTCTTGTGTCAAATACACAGTAAGCAAAATGAGTCTCTATACTGGTCACGTCTGAAATGTATGTTTTGTTCTGCATCTTAAGTTCGTCGTCTTTCTCTCAAAAAGTGTGTGTGTCATATCTTTCATATCAGTCCTCTAGCATCATGGTTGGTTACTACACTGACTAGATTCTTAAGTCTTCCCTAGTTGCTCTTTACAATGTTATTATTATATAAATAGTTTTCTGGGTTCTGCTGACTTCACTCTACATCAGTTTATACAAGTCATCCCAGGTTTTTCTAAAACTACTTCTGTTGTCATTGCTTATTATGCAATAATATTGCATTACTTTTGACAACCCTAGACTGATGGGCATCCTCTTAATTTCTTTTTTTTAAATTAGACTAGGTAATAGTTCACTTTATTATTTTTTTAAAATAATAGTTTAATTTATCAATTCAATGGATTTTTTGCTTTTCAGAGTTTTCATTTTGTTGTTTAGCCATGATTTTTTTATTTGCTGCATTTCTAGTTTTGTCCAATTCATTTATCTGTTCTTTCACTTTTTTTGTTGATGAAAATGTCTGGAGATATACATTTTACCTAAGGATTTATTCTGGCTGTCTTCCTCAAACTTTCAAATGTACATTTGTTGCCATTTTCTTTTATGAAATTATTTTTTGTTTCTAAGTTTTGTTCTTTGACCCACCAGTTATTTATTATTGTTATCAAGTCCCAATTAATTTTACTACTTTCTTTAAAGTCCCTTTATTGACTATTTTATTATGTTTTGTTACATTTGTTTTTTTTTTAAATCCTAACACACTGCCAATTTAATGGAGCCATGCACAGCTGTGAAATATGTATACTCCTTTCCATTCCAAATCAGTAATTAACTGAGAGCTAGTATATGTAACCTTTCTAAACTTTTATTCAGGACCTTAATTTCTTTCTTGTTTTTCTTTTCATTTGATTTGTCTAAGTCTTAGAGGTATACATTGAGTTCTCCAACTATTATGGTTTCACTGTCTATTTCTTCCTATAAATAGTTAACTTTTTCTTTAGGTATTTACATGCTGTGCCATTAGGTCTTCCCCTCCCAGTTTGATTTTTTTTTTAAGGGACCATCTCTTGGCTTACTTCTTAAACAGCCCTAATCACTGAATAGGCGTTGCCTTAGTCAAAGTGAGAACTAGGAAAGACCTTAGCTGAAAAAGGCTGAGGTCTCCCACTGCATCTAGGACTATCTTCATTTGTCCTGATCTATATCCAGCTACACATAGCCACTCAGATGGCTCCAGAGGAGAAAGTGAGGCTGGTGACTTTGCACAGCCCTCTCTCACTTAAATCCAATTCACCTGCAAGTCATGGCATCATCTTCCTGATGTCACAGTCTTCTTTGAGAACAAAGGACAAATGGACACCACCACCAACCACTATACATGGTAGGCCATTTCCCATCTCCCAGACAGGAGTAGAGAACCTGTAGCCTTGAGGCCATATGTGGCCTTCTAGGTCCTTGGGTTTGGCCTTCTGACTGAGTCCAAGTTTTGCAAAAGAAATCTTTTTATTAAGGGGATTTGTTTTGCGAAGTTTTGATTTGGTCATAGGGCTGCACTTGAGGACCTAGAGGGCCATATGATCCCCACCTCTGTCCTAGAACATTTACTTTCTTCATCTACACCTCAGAATTCCACTCTTTCTGATCCCTCCAACCACTTGGGTCTGTCTCCTTCCCAACTACCTTGTATGTGTGCACACAGACACACACAGAGTGTATGTTATTCTATACATATGTGTATGGCACATATGTATGTGTACTACATATGCATATATATGTATACACATATATATGTTGTTCATTTATGCATAAACGACCATATCTCTGTGTGTATATTCCTTATAGAACATAAGCTCCTTGAAAGTAGCTTTATTCTTTGTGCCTCTTTTAGAAGCAGCTGGTGGTGCAGCACACAGAGAGATGGGCCTGGCGTCAGGAAGACCTATATTCAAATCTGGTCGTTTCTTATATCAAACTAAAAATTTACCTTTCTGCAATATCATACCTATTATTCCTAGTCCTTCCCCTTGGGCCAAGCAAAATGAGGCTTCTCTCTCTTTGACATCAGTTGCAGGTTTCCCAAAGGGCAATAAAGTTGTATGTGGGGTGTAAATAGGATGCAGCTTATTAACATTCATCAACTGTATGTGAGAAGCAAAAAAGATATCACTAATGAGTTGTATAACCAGGAAAGGGGGTGAGTTATTTGAGGAATAACAAATGGAAAACTCATCTGTTACACAATGTCAAGAGACCAGAGGCATGAGCCCAGTATGGTTGTGGCAGACTCCCCTTGCTGAAGCTAGCCACTGGTTCAAACCAAGAACAAGAAAAGCACTGGCCATGACAGCGTTTGTCGTTTGCTGAGTCCACTCTCCCCCTGACCAAGAGTCTTGCATCCAGAGTTTCAGAATATTTACCTGATGACTAACTGACCTTGCAAGAGACAAGGTAGAACACTGAGTTTTAAATGTTGTATTGTCTATATCTCTTTGCCCCATTTGAAGGAGGACTAAACTGAAACTAAATTGAACATTTCCTAAAACTGCTAGGTTTGAAGCAGCTTCTGTACTACTTAGGATCTCCCACAGTCTAGGTGGGGCAGAAGGCATATAACCCGTTGGTAGATGTTTCCTTACATATCGTTTTCTTATTATCACGTAGTTTATTTGCTTGTCAATTCTATGCCAAGATTAAAAGCACGTACTGGTTAAAAAGAGAGGAGAAATCTAGAGAAGGGCCAGGCTGTTGGATGGATTTCCTAGAGAATTCAGTCAAGTGACTTTTTTGCCTTCTAAACTGCTTTCCATAATGACTGGATCAATTCACAGTTCTCCCAATGGCATATTAGTGTCCTTATTTTCTTCTAGCCTAACAGCTATCATTTTTTTTATCACCTTTGCTAAACTGATAGGTGTGAGATGGAACCCCAGAGCTGCTTTAATGTGGATCCCTCTAATTATTAGTGATTGGAGTATTTTTTCATAAGGCTGATGATAATTTGGATTTCTTACTTTGAAAATTGTTCATATTTTTTAAAGACTATTTTATCTAATGGGGAATGGCTCTAATTCTTATAAATTTGAATCAGTTCCTTATATAGCTCAGATATATCACAGGCCTGGATGGCACAAGTTCCCCACCCCTATATAAGATCTTTATTAGATAAACTTGCTACAACTTTTTTTATTTTACAGTGATCTGTTTCTCTTCTAATTTTAACTGTGCTGTTTTTGTTTGTGTAAACATTTTAAAATCTTATATAAATAAAATTGCGCATTTTATCTTCTGTGATTCTCTCTATCCTCTGCGTGGTCATGAACTGCCTGCTCCTATCCAGAGACTTGAAAGGTAATTTCTTACATGCTCTTCTAATGATTTCTGATGTTACCCTTTATGTCTACGTCATGTATCATTTGGCGATTACCTCATTATATGGTATAAGCTGTTGGTCTCTAGCTGGTTTCTGACAGACTATGTTCCAGAGTTTCCAGCAGTATTTGTCAAATAGTGAGCTCTTACCCCTGTGACTGGGATCTTTGGATTTATCAGAACACCATGCTACTATATTCATTTGCTTCAGTATGCTGTATACCTAATCAGTTCCACTGATCAACCTATTTTTTTAACCAGTCTAAATTGTTTTGAAGGTGGCTTGCCCAGGGTCACACAGCCAGTGTCTGAGACTGAATTTGAACTCAGGTCCAACATTCTATCCACGGTGCCACCTAGCTGCCCTATATTATATATCAATACTTATAGCTGGGAAAGAAAATGCAAATGGACAACAACTTGGGTCCATAATTAGAATAGAAGGAAGAGAATGAACTGGATTGCCTTCAGGACATTGCAAATTTCTTTTAATGACCCCAGGCTTCTCCCAGAAACAAAGGACCACTTAAAAATACCAATATTCTATGAGTATTATATAGAATGTGAGATATAGAACATAATAACTGATAAAGATCTGAACATAAGTATTATATAGAAGGCAACTGAGAGGCACATGGAGCATTTGAGCAGGTTGTAATGTTTATAACAAATTAGGAACTTTAAAGAACATAATTATGTATCAGGAAATGTATGAAAGAAAAAGATAGGTCAGTCATGTGGTAAGGAAGGAGAATGACATGTGGATAGCACAAGTGCTCTGCTATCCTCAGTATCAATAGAAACTGAGGAAGACCTTTGGCATATTAGGTGAATGCCTTGTGGTGAACTTAGGAGAGGACACGGACAAAAGCTGCACAGGACAGGCAAGCATGGATGGGTTCCAGTCTTCATAACTGGGGGAAATATTCAAAGTGATGAGATCACAGACACTGTTTCAGGGATTGCCATGGTCAAAGAAGTTATCACCTAGAGTGGTCAATCTCCTGGTGATAAGCCAGCCTCCCTGGACTTGACTAAGCTGGTCTTTGGGCAGCACACAGTCAGCAGGACTGTAGGCAAAGTTTTTCCAGCTGCCAGTATTCTGCTGGCATAACTTCAAAGTACTCAGGGTTGTGACTACACCAGGATGTGGCAACAGAGCAATATTTTTGTAGAAGATTACTGTGCATATGACTTCCAAATTTGTATCTCCAGCCCTGGAGCCCCATCTGAGCTCTAGACTTATATCTCCTATTACCTATAGGATATATCCTCATTTTCTCTGAACCATCTCCCCTCCTTCTGGTTACTATTTCTGTCACTGAAACTACCAGTCTTCCATGTCAAAACCTTGATGTTACCCCTTTGACAATTCCCCTTCGCTCATCTCTTACAATGGAGCTACCACCAGTTCCAATCATTTCTACCTCCTATCCTCTGTCACTGCCAACACCTTAATATAAGCCCTTGTTATTACTTGCCTGGAGCACTGATAACCTTCCTCCCTCCATTTTTTCTATCCTCTACTCCCTGAATTTTGCTCTAGGTGATGGAACCAAAATAAACTTTCGAGCTGCTCAGGAAGAAAAAGACTCTGAAAGACTAAAACCTAGATCAAATCAACTGATCACAATCATTCTGCCTTTTGACTGTCTCTGTTGATGTTCACCCCAAACTATGTGACTACCCTTTGTTCACTCCCTTTTTATGAATTCACACTTTTGATCTTGCTCCTGGATCCTAGCTAGGCTAGGGGACTCCTTGTTATTCCAACTGGAACAGAGCTCCTAGGGGCAGATAAAACCCACAGTACAGATTAAGTGCTTTAAGAAAGATACAACTTCCTCCGACAAAGAGGCGAACAAGAAGCTTGAGGAAGATTATCAATGTTAAGGAAAAAAAAATATTTGAAAGTGCTTATACTAAATAGTCTCAAATTTTTCCTAGGCCTTCAGGATTTTGATAATGGTTCCTGACTAATGATTGAATGGTTTACCTTTCCTGAAAGACCAGATGAAACGTTATTTGTAATCCATCTATTTAGTTTTTACTCACTCACCTAGGCAGATGCCTCTTGAGACTTCTCTTTCCACCACCCAGGGTTCTTCCCCTTGCTCCAGCTGGGAGATCACATATGGCTTAGAAACTGGAAACCCTGATTATGAAGAAAGAAACAGGACTTGTTTGTTTGTGCTGGAGACAAAGGCAATTGCACAGTCAAGTTCTGGCCCCCTGATGTGAGATGGCAGAGAACAGTTTAAGAAGGGTCCAAGGGTGACATGGAGTTCTTTAAAGGTTAAGATAGTTGAAACATCTGAAATAGCAAAATGAAGGCCCAATTTTCATTCTGTAAACAGGGAACAGAACTGCCTGGCCTCTGAGTCATAAAGACATTATAAATCATTGAGCCCCAGGGCTAAAACTTGGCTAAGCACCTTTTAAAAATCAAAGAAAAGAGATGTTCCATTTGACACAGTCTGAGTCACAGGGGGAAGCCATCCTTACCCAGTGAGACCAGGTTCCCATAGTTCTCCAGCATCACATCCCTGTACAAGTCCCTCTGAGCAGGATCCAGTTGCCCCCATTCCTCCTGGGTGAAGTCCACAGCTACATCCTTAAAGGCCACTGATTCCTAAAACACCAAATACGTTCCTGCTTACCCAATAAGCCTACTCCAAACAGGGCTCATGGATTATGTGTGAAGTTGGCAGTGCCAGGATAGTTAAATGCCAGATAGTCAGATGTACAGGACTTCTAAAAGTGTTTACAACCACTGCTATTTTGGATATTATTCTAACAAAAAAGGGAGCAACTGAGGTGGAAATGAGAGTAACCATGGGAAGAAATAGCCATGCTATTTAGAGAGTTCATGGTAACTAAGAAAGGGAATACCAGGCATAGTATGACCTATCCCTAGGTCAGAGATGGGGAATCTGCAGCCTTGAGGCCACATGTGGCCCTCTAGGTCTTCAAGTGCAGCCCTTTGACTAAATCCAAACTTCACTGAACAAATCCCCTTAATAAAAGGATTTGTTCTGTATATGTTGGGACTCAGTTGCAAGGCCACACCCAAGGGCCTAGATAGAATACCACACATGGCCTTGAGGCCACAAGTTCCTCACCCCTGCCCTAGATTTCTGGAGAGTGTATTTCGAAGAGTTCAGGGAAAGTTTGGATAGGATCCTATGACCTTAAATTTTATAAGGGAAGCTGGCTCAAGAGACAGCATGCTCTTAAGATATCAATTCTGAAAATGAAAACAAATGATTCTGATGAAGAAAATGGGAAAGATGGGTATTGAGATTAATTTGATTGCACAGGCAACTCACCAATGAATTTAAATTGTAAAAAGAGATAAACACATGATGGAAAAAATGGGGAGTTATAAATAGAAAATAGTAACACAGTCCTGTAAGAATAGCATCAGGCAATGATCCAAGACAATTCCAAAGGACTCATGGTGAAAAATGCTATTCACCTCCAGAAAGAGAACTGATGAATTCTGAGTACATATTGAAGCATACTTTTTAAAGACTTTCTTTATTTTTCTTGTGTGTGTGTGTGTTTTCTTTTGCAATATGATTAATATGGAAATGTTTTACATGACTTCACATGTATAATCATTATCCTATTGTTTGCTTTCTCAAGGGGTAAGGAAAGGATGGGAGAGAAGGAGAGAATATGTAACTCAAAATTTAAAAAAAATTATGCTAAAAATTTTTTAACATGTAATTAGGAAATATTTAATGAAATACATAAAATTTAAAAACAGAATCAGTAAGACTAAAGAATATAAAAAACTGAGACAAAAATCTTCAAGACAACAAAAAGAGCTTTTTAAAAAGCTATGTTGGGAGCCAAAGTCTGAATAAGAGAGCAGGATATCTGCTTGGAGGGAGAAGGACAAGGGTGACAAATAATAACAAGAAGGCAGAAATATTTCATTCCTATTTTGTTTCTACCAAGGAGAAAATTGATCTGAGGATAAAACAAAAATTACTTAAAGAAAACTGAAAATTAAGTGAAGAGATAACAAAAGAGCAACTGGGTGCTCTCAGTGAGTTCAATCACCCGGCACAAGTAAAAGACATAATTCTCAGAGCCCTGATCCTGCAGATACTACTGCTGTGGACAATTTTATAAAAGCCATGGTAGAGAACAGGAAAGTCACTACAAGGCTAGACACTACCAAATTTTGCTTAGTTTTCCAAAAGAATAGTAAGACAATTTTTCAAACTCTAAGCCAATGAACCGTATGCCAACTTTTGCAAGTCTTAGGAGGCAAGAACCAGAAGAAGAAATCTCGAGGAACTGGCAGGGGTTCATCACCAAGTCATGACTTCATACTCTCATTTATAATTTTTACAGGATTTACTGACAGATATTGCAGCAAGGCCTGTGACATTATCTTATGAAATCCTTCTGGATAACGTAGAGAGACTGCTCTGAATGATAGTTCAACTAAATGGATTTGGAGCAGGATGAATACTAGCACCTGAAGAGTGGTGATTAAGGGAAACTGGTGATTAGGGGAAACTCATCAACAGGATGAAAGTGTCTAGTAGTGTCCTTAGTTTCTGTCCTTGGTCCTATTTTGTTCAACATTTTTACCAATGACTTGAGTGAAAAGTTGGATACCATGCTTACCAAAGTTGTAGATGACACAAAGCTGGGAGGGAATTAATACACTGGATGATGGAATCTGAATCCAGAAAGATTTCAGTGGTACAGAATGATGGGAAAAAAATCTAATAAGAAATTTAAAGGTGATAAATGTAAAGTTAGTAGCAGTATGGCATACTGGATAGAGGGTCAGCCTTGGAGTTAGGAAGACCTGGATTTAAGTCCTACTTCTAACATATATTAGCTGTGTGACCACAGACAATTCACGACTTCTTATGCCCAAGATGAGAGGTGTCAAACTCACCTTTTAAATTAAAATGGGGTGGGGGGGGAGGGATAGGTGGCATGGTGAATAGAGCACTGGCCCTGAAGTCAGGAGGATCGGAGTTCAGATCAGGCCTCAGACCAAACACTTGACACTTACTAGCTGTGTGACCCCGGGCAAGTTACTTCATCCCAATTGCCTTAAAAAAAAAAAAATTAAAATGGGGGCAGGTAGGTGGTGTGCAGTGGATAGAGGACTGGCCCTGGTGTCAGGAAGAACTGAATTCAAATTCGACCTCAGAGACCTGACACTTACTAGCTGTGTGGCCCCAGGCAAGTCACTTAACCCCAACTGCCTCACACACACAAAAATACATACATTAAAATGCAATTGGGAAATGTTTTACAAAGTAAATAAAAATACGATATAATGCTAATTTGTGATTTTCTAAGACAAAACATGGCCTGCAGGGATCCATTTCTATGAGTTGACACTGTTACCCTAGACAACCAATACCATAAATGACCTTGCTAATCTGTTTCTGTGGAAGGACTTAGCAGACCGGGAATCCCTTACAACCAGTCTAGACCAAGAACAAAAAAAATCAAGTAATGCAACTGACTTAAAAAAAAATCAAACGTACAAATACAGGATAGGAGGAATGTGGCTAGACAGCAGTTCATATGAAAAGGACCCAGGGGCTTTAGGTGACTGCAAGTTCAATATGAGACTATAGTATAATGTGATAGCAAAAAAGCTAATGTGAACTTAGCCTGCATCATCAGAAGTGCAGTCTCCAGAATGGAAGGTGATAACTCCCATTGTATTCTATCTTGGTCAGATCACATTTGGAGTGCTGCATTTATTTCCGGATGCCACATTTGCAGGACACTGGAAAGATGGCATGTAACTAGGAAAGGTAACCAGGACGAAGAGTGTGAAACGCTGAATACACAGTCAGATGTGGCCATTATGTTGATTAGTTTTGTTTAACTCTTTTTCTTTGTTACAAAAGAGAACTCCCTGATGAGGGTATATTTTTAGGGAATATATGGAAATGACTGTGGTATAAAGAAGAAATCAACACCCCCCCCCCAGCTGGTTAAAAAAAAAACAACTTCCCACCAAATTCAATGATCCTATAGCCTTTACTTCCTATATATTCTTCACCAAAAAAAAGTGCTTTAATTTTTAATTTAGCATTGACTCATAAAAGGTGTGTGGTAGCCTCAGGAAACATTATGAATTATGATACCCAGTCTCTCTAATGCAAAGTGACATAAGCAATTAAATCAGAGAGACACACGACAGGGAAAGGACTAAGGCATAGCCAGTGGACAGCCAGCCCCCTTGCTCCAGTGGTACTGAAAATGTTAAGAGACAGATCCCCTATGGAGAATTTATGGAAGGACCTGGGCAAGAATCATATGGGATGAGAAAGTATGGATGGACAGGTTGGGATCTGCCCTATCTGTTTTTGGGCAAAAAGTAAAAATGGACCACTGGAACTGAGTAGAGATTATAGAAATAAAATATAAATATAAATAAAAAATAAAAATAATAAAATATCCAGTACTTAGAAATTGACTAAAGACTAATGACTTGGCAAAATAATGATTTTATGTTATTACTGAAGTATGCTTAAGATGATCTAAATTGGATAAATGATCACTACACTTTTGTATTGTGGCCAATAAGGTCATGAAAGTCGAAACCCCATTATTTATTATTATTATTAAATAGTTAACATTTTCACAGCACATTAATTAAATTCTCACAACAACTCAGTGCAGTAGATTCCCAGAGGTAATAATGAGGCTCAAATTGGTTCAGAGAATTGCTCAGTCATACTGCTAGGTCAGTGGCAGGATTTAAACCAAGGTCTCTCCTGACCACAAGTCCAGTGCTCTTTCTACCACATCCTGTTGCCTCTCATTTAACCACCACTGTGAAAAAAGTCTTTCTGGTGTTTCCTCCTCCTATCCAGGAAAACAAACATCTCACTTCCATCAAGCAATAAAACAAGCTACAATCCCTAGCTTCTTGGAAAAGACTAACTAGGCCCAGACTACTGTGAAAGAATCTGGGAAGAATCCTGTAGTCACAACATGATCCCATGAATTAACATTTTTGGTTACCTCACTATTTATAATGGATGTTTCAAGGCTTGTACATATCCACCTTTATTACTGAAGAGTTACCTGTCTTCTACAGTAGCAACTCTGAAGACTTTTTAGACTCTTCCCCTCAATGGATCTTAAGCATTTTAAACACTTTATCCTTGAGACTATCTAATAACTTTCAATCTATGGTCTAAACTGAGGATGGCATTCAAGGCCTTCCACCATTTGTTCCAATTCTACATATTTTATTACCCATTTCTTCTCAACAGTAATTTCCTTAAGCCAAGTTTACTCTTTACTGGTGCATGTGAATGACAACCAATTTTGCCTGAGTTTCTGTCATGTTGTTCTTCCTGCCTGTAATGTCTCCCTGTATTATATAAATCCTTCAAGAGCACTTTAAACCTGATTCCTTCCACTACCTTCCCTGACCAATCCAGCTCATACTGATCTTATCCTTTCAGAAACTCCAACCCACCTGTCATATACACTACTCATTTTGCACTTATTATCAGCTTCTATCACTAATCCTTTGATGTGTCAGTCTGCTATTATGGCTAATAGTGTCAGCATATTTGGAGTGAGGACTATGTCTGATTTTTACTTTCTATCCATCAGTGTACTTAGCATATTAATGACCACACAGTAGGCCCAAACATCTTTCTAAATGAATGAGTGGATATTAAGTGGGGAAAACAGGGGCACTGAAGGAAAGCACTCAGTAACAGGGGAACATTTTCTATGGAGTCAGTCACTATTATGGACCCCATCTCCCTGGGAAGAACTGGGACTCAAGTGCCTGTATGAGGATTTCTTGAAGAAAGGAGTTTTCAAGAGAAGGGAGATGTATCCACAATCTAGGCATTTCAGAAAAGAGGGAGAAAACTCCAACTCACCTGGAACCTGGCTTTCAGGAAAAGAATTGTCATTTGCTCCTCCTCTGGGTTCCCCTCTTGAGAAAGGCCAGGGTCCTGAGAAGATGAAGCTGAAGGGATAAAAGAAGCCATGAGTGTGGCTGATTCTATCTTATAGTTCTCACACTCCATAGGTCATAAACTCCACCACACCAGTTAGGCTGGATCCCCATATTTCCAAGAAAGAACCTGTTCAAAAAGGGGTCAGAATAAGTCTGCCAAACTGAAGGTCACAGAAGGCCATAACTTGTTGCCAAGGACCTCTGCTCTGTGCTCATGGCAGGTTCCCTGTAAAAGAACTGTAGTCCTACAGTCAGCATATAGCTGAGGTCACAGATAGGTGTGATGTTGAGTCTGTTAACAACTTCCTTGTTCCTTAGTTTTCTCCCTTTAAAAAAAAAGCCCCTCCTTCGCCTTCAATTTCTTTGAGGAATTATATGCTAATTCTTTTGGAGAAAGCAGCTATGTTATCATACCTATGACAACAACTTAACTATCAGAAATGTAGTACTGGCCTAATGAAAAAACACTGACTAGAAGGCCACATGGAATAACATGAAGAACAGTAGACTAGGAGTAAGAAGACCTGGGGATTCCATTTCAGGTTCTTCTGTTATCTAACTTTTTGACCCTTGGCAAGTCACTCAATGCCTTTAAACCTTAATTTCTTATCTAAAAAATAAGAAGAGTGGGGCAGCTAGGTGGCACAGCAGATAGAGCACCAGCCCTGAAGTCAGGAGGAACTGAGTTCAAATCTGGCCTCAGACCAAACACTTGCCACTTACTAACTGTGTGACCCTGGGAAAGTCACTTAACCCCAACTGCCTAAAAATTAAAAGAAGAAGAAGAAGAAGAAGAAGAGTGGAGTCAGTGATTTTTAAGGTTGCTAAATTCTGACTTTGTGAGGACTCTAAACTATATGCTAGTTCCAGCTGTCACTAAATAGTGCTCTAACCTTAAGTACTGTTAACACTTGCCTCACTGAATCATTGTTTCCAGTCTATAAAACAGAGATACTGAAGCTCTATCTGCCTTAAAGGGTTTTTGTGAGGATAAAATGAAAATTTCGTTGACTTGGGCTTGTCCCTCCTAAGGCATTCTAATGGGGAATGTTCTCTCTCTGGCTTTCCTAAGTTTGTTACTACACAAAGCAGGGGTAGGAGGGGTGTGTAATAGTCTGAATGTCTTGATATAAGGGGCTTGCATATGTTGAAGTCTCAAATATAGTCATTTGCTCATCCCATGACACTCTGAGATTGGGAAATCTTTCCCCCAACTCTTTGGCCAAGGGTACCTTCCTCTGAGATATGTTTTTCCTTTTCCCATAATGAGAAGATGGCTTCCTCCATACCCCTCTCCACCTAAACATTTATCTTCTGTTTGTTCATTTCTTACCTTTTCCCTCAAGAATCTGAGTCAAATGCTCCATGGTCATCCACTGTTCCATGTTCTCTGTGTACCTTGTGACTTCACCCAAATCCTGACCTTTCCCTTACAGGATTATCAGGAATCCTTCCAACTCCATCAGTTTCAGCATCGGTTCTGCAGCCTCTTCCTGGAAGTTCTGGTGTCAGGCTTAAGTTTCCTCCTAGGAGGAATCCCTACATTCCTGGAGACTTCTCTGTCTTCATTCTTAAGAGCCAGACTTACTGCTGCGGATCCGTCATCTAGGAGCTAACATCACTTTAGCTTGAGGATCCAACTGTCTTGACTCTCCAGTAGGGAACCAGCTCTCCCTACAGACTCTCAAGAAGGACCCACCAAAGGCTGGTGTCAAAACAGGAGAGATGCACCGCCTTCAGTCACTCGGAGGTAATGGCATCAGGAGGAAAGTGAGGCACTGTTTGTAAACAAGAAGAAAAAGTACTCCAGAACCCGGCTTGGATAAACCTACACATGTACACACGCGCGCACACACACACACACACACACACACAACTTCCTCCCCTCTCCTCCACACCCCAAATTCTCACACCCTGCAGTCACACACACAGGACTCGGAACCACATACTGGACGGAGCCGCCGGACTCACCTGGACTCCCCGCGGTTGGGGAGGGAAGGGGGTCAGGCCGGTCCATCCATGCCCAGAGAGGGAAGGGGGGCTTCTCCCGGTGTCTGGTCCCAAGCTCCACAACGCCGCCCCTCTCCGCCCTCAGAGCCCTCCCCAAAACCCAGGACACACACACCACAACCCGGCTTCGTTAGCTAAGCCGCCGGGCCGGCGGTCTACCCGCCCACCCTGCACCGGTCCGGGACCCACAAAGGAAACCAGCTTCCAGACCGGAAGGAAGCGCTGGCTTAGCCACACCGCGGAACTACGACTCCCAGAATGCCCTGGGCGGTAGGGCCGCTTCCGGTTCGGTGCCTTTGGTCCCCTGTGGGACGCTCAATTCCGGTTGAGGGCTAGGGGGCGGGACCATGGAGCTGGCTCCTGAGGCTTCTATCCCTCCCACTTGTGCTCCGAACCCTGGGAGCGCGTTTGGGCGAGCCCGTCGCAGGCTCCTTCTGATCCTTTTTTGTCATCAGCAGGGCTTCCTCGTGTAGTGTGTGGGTTGGGGGCGGAGAGTGGAGTGGGGGGCATAATCCAGGGGTTCTGGCAATTTGTAGTGAGTCTGGGCAGTGTCGCTAGACTCCCCGGGTGTGCCAAGGTAAATCGCCGTTGTAGGGGGTGAACACCTTGAAAGCAGAGACTGGCTCGTTTGTTTTGCCTTTGTGTGTATTCCCAGCGCTTAACTGTGCCTGGCACTTAGTAGGCAATTAATAAATGATCATTAACTGACCTGTCGCCTGAGGCGGAGAGGAAGGGTTTTTTATAGGCGCCCCCCCTTGTGCCTCCCCTTCTGAGACGCCCTCTCTTTTACTCTACACATCTTGTATTACCTAGTCATTTACATGTAGATATGTAGTGGTTAACATACAGATATCTCGTTTTAACATGTCTGTATCTAGTTATTTACCTAATTATTTATACGTATATTTGTTATTACCTAGTTATTAACATGTTTCTATCTTGTATTAGTTACATTTATATCTAGTATTACCTAGTTATTTACACGTATATATCTGCTATTACCTAGTGATTTACATGTATATATCTACTATCAATTAGTTATTTACATGTATATGTTTAGTATTACCTAATTATTAACAAGTATATATCTGGTACTATGTAGTCGTTTACATTTTATCTCACCTCTTCGAATGTGAGCTCTTCAGGGCAAAGACTGTTGCCTTTCTTTGTATCTCCAGGGCTTAGCAGAGTACCTGACTCCTAATAAGTGCTTAATAAATGCTTTTTAATTGATTGATGGGGAGGGAGGAAGAAAGGCAGGGGGCAAGCAGGCTTCAAGTGATGGGCACAATGACAAAACATCCTATATATCAGGTATACTTTAATTGATGATATAACGTCACCTTTAACCCACTTCCTAGGAACATTTGAGGGGAGGTGTTTTAGAGTCTGATTTTTCAGGAGTTAGCTGTGGACTTCACATCAGAGAAGTAAGCCTGAGGGAGCATGAGTCCTGGTATCATGCTTCCCCAAAGGCCTCAGAATCTATTATTCAGTACAACAAATATTAAACACTACTATATGAAAGGCAGTGAGGATACTGTAGGGAATGTGGTTGGGAATGTTGCTTCTGCATATCACTATTCAGGGTGATGAGTAGCTGCTAGGGTATTCACAACTGTAGGCCGTTGCCAAGGAAATGTGGGGAATGGGAGATGTAATTAGGGGCAGAAACTCACGTGGGGAAATTGCTCGCTCCGGATAGGCTGTAAACCCTGCAATACCCAGCCAATGGGGAAATAGGGGAGGGAACTGGCATTGGGGCATAGGAATAAAAAACTGCTCTCCCTTCGGTAAGGTGTGCCCACACATGGGATACCCGGCTGTTAATAAAAAGTTTTTCTGGTTCACCAGTGGCTTCTTGGAACTTTTGTTGCTTACAATACAAAACCAAGACCAATCTTAGCCCTTAAGGAACTTAACACTTGTGGGGTGGGATTGGGTAGGGAATAGAATATATAAGCAATTAATTATATACATGATTATGGAGGGAGCGAGCACTAAAAAGTAGGGAGACCAGGAATGGCTTTCCATAGGAATTGACACATGAGATAAGACTTAACAGAAACTAGGGTCTCTCACAGGCAGAACTAAGGGAGTGAATTTCAGGCAGAGGGGACATAGTTTGTGCAAAGGCATGGGAGGTCTAGACCGAAAAACCCAAACGAAATCCCCAAATATGGAGAATACAAGACTTGGGGTGTGGGGCATGCTAGCCTTTACTTGAAAGGCTATGTAGAAAGATTAGACTTTGGCACTTTGCCAAAAAACAACTGCAGCAATAAGATATGGGGGATGGGCGGAGTTTTAAAGAGATCATGAGAATATTTCAACTCATTTTAAGGGAATACTTACTTCCCAGTGACAGTTGTCAAATAGTGAAGTGGACTCCCTTAGAAGGTAATGACTTCCCCTTCATTAAAGGTCTTCAGCAAAAGGCCAGGTTATCACTTGTTAGGAACAATGTGTGTGTGTGTAATCGAAAGGATTACGTACTGCGCAGATTCAATTTAGGTTCGGATCTCAAGATATAATGACAGATACTCAGGACAAACTTAACAAATAATCACATTTATTTACAATGATCAATAATGATTAAAAACCACATAAAGAATAAAGGTAAGAATAGCATTCAATGCAATAAGTAATAATCAACATAAAGGAAATAAGAATAAGAAAAGAAAGGATACACACTCACTGAGCAGGTGAGCTCAAATACCTAATAGACCCGGGGAGACTGGAGAACCGCCAAAAGGTCTGGTCAGGGAGGCAATGAGGAGCGTCCTACCCCGGAACACAGCGAAAGCCGTGCACGCGATCCGCTTCTGGCAAAGAATCGGAGTCCTTATCTTTGCAACCAAAGTCTCCAAAATCTCCCTTTCCAATGACCATTTTTATGTCCATGTAAACCAGGGAAAAACAATCTCGATGTCTTGTTTTGTGTATGTCTGCTTGTTGAGTACTCAGATCCAGGGTACGTACACATTCTAACAATGGTTGGAGCTTGATCAGAGCTCCAACTACCTGTTTATTGTGTAATTGTCCAAGGAGTGATCAATTCCTTGGACAATTACATGCTTTTCTCAAGAAGAATGTTCCTTGAGATAGATTGTTTTCCCAGGTAACATTGTTTAGTTGTCACTTAATGTTCCAGTCTCCTTGATCCTGGCCACTCTTTGATGACTCCATTTTGTCCTTATGTCAGGTCATGAGGCAATTACACCATTAGGTCATAAGACGGTTACACAGGGGGCTGGGGAGGATCTATCCTCCTCAGTTTCCCTTACAATATGTTGGGAGTTTTTTTGGTGATTAAGTGATTTGCCCAGGGTCACACAGCTAGTTAGTGTCAAGTGTCTGAAGCCACATTTGAACTTAGGTCCTTCTGACTCCAGGGTCAGTACTGTACCCACTGTGCCACCTAGCTGCCCTGAAGATATTCTTAAAATATAGGTTGTACTAAATAAATGCCCCTGAGGTCTCTTTCAGCTCTGAAATTTTTTGGCTCTGAAATTGTCAGCAAAAAAATCAATAATTTATTAAATTTTTGCTTTTTATCAGATTAGCAAAATAGCATATTTTGAGATAACTTTAGTATATCATCATGATTATATCTTGTCCCCTATACAATTTTGTAGTCTGTATTTGGAAAGCATCATCAATATACACCATTTGGTCAAGTGGTCTGTGTTCTCCCACAATACATGTCATTATTCTTTGATTGCTTTTTTTTATTCCCAATAAATTGCTCCCCACCATGTTCCCACACTCTGCTTTGTGGATTTCTATAAGGTATATATAATTTTAACATGGTGTCACTCCCAACTCTAATCTCAAATACTCAATACTTTTGAACAAGGCATATAGTTCCACAACCATATCCAGGCAGGTCACCTGCTTCCCCAGAAATCATTTAGACAATAAACATTTATTAAGTGCCTACTATGTGCCAGGCACTGTCCCAAGCACTGGAAAAAAACAAAAAGGAAAAAAGACAGTCCCCATCCTCAAGAGTCTTACAATCTAGCTGGGGAAGACAACACAAAAAAGGAAGCTGAGAGGAGAGAAGGTACCACCCCTGGTGGAGAAGTCAGAGAAGTGGGACATGAGGAGTTTCTGGACTAGGTGGCGCCCTTGACAACCTCTGTTTTCCTCTGAAGATCCTAAAGTGAATTCAGTCTGACAAACTAATTAAACATTATACTGTTTTCTACCCTCAAATTCCTTGCCACCTTGTCTTATCCCTTCTCATCACTTTCTAAACTCAACCCCTCCCCCCACCAGTTTTCTCCTCTTCTACTCATGTGCAGCTTAATACCCCCTGGAGGAAGTCATATAATTGTGCTAACTGGTTCCACCACAAAACTTATCAAATCTCAACAGAGCTCACTGTTGCATGGCAATAATTTTACTTTTCCCTGATTGATTCTCTATGACACCCATCACAGTGTTTGTTCCAAACCTTTTCTTCTCAAGCTAACTACACTAATATTAATGTGTTAATAATGCATATATATTAATCTATCACAATTTTTAAAATATTTTGATAATTATATTTCAATGTAATTGGTTTCTTTTGAATTGGTATGTATTTTATTGTATAGATTTTAAAGTATTTAGAGGAATCCAAAGGCTTTATCAGACTGCCTAACAAAAAAAGTTTAAGCATCTTTGGTGTAGCAGAACACTCACTGGATGTGGAAAAAGAGAACTTGAGGTCTTGGACTACTTCCTATTCTCAAGATCATTTACTTAACCCAGGGGTGGGGAAGGTGTTAGGTCCTTAAGTGGATTTGACTGAATCCAAATTTTACAGAATAAATCCTTTTGTTTTTATTAATACATTTTTGTTCATCTTTTATATTTTTATTTTATTTTTAAAATGAATGTATTTAAAATACCAAAGAATAAAATAAGTTTCAATGAAATAATCCTCCCAGATTGACTGATACAATTAGAACATCAGTACATCATAAGGGCTAAACTGATGACTGCTACACTCATTATTTAGGTCTAACTTCCCCCGCCTGACTGGTGCCACTACCGGCTGGTTGTTGAGAATTTATGGGGGTCCAGTATGCCAGTCTGTTACCAGCTTTTGAGAATGGCACATTGTGTTTCTGTTTGAAGTGGAATTTGTGAATAGTTGCACAGCTCAACAGTATTTTTATTTCTGTCTGTTTACCTGCCCATCATGTCAAAGAAGACCAAAAGAACACTAAAGGAAGAAAACAGATTTTTTTAATGAGGATTGGAAATTGCAATATTATCTTGTTTCTGCTAAAGATAAGATAATTTTCTTGTTCTGTGATACTGCAATATCAACATTAAAGAAATTCAATGCTTATCAGCATTATAACACTTATAAGGACCACAAATATTTTAAATTTAGAGGGAGAGATGCAAAAGGTTGTATTGCAGAAATTAAAAGATGAAAAACAAAAGCAAAGACAATTCTTTCAATAAGTAATAATGGAAATAATGCCAGTGAAGCAACTTATAAAGTAGCTTATATCCTCAGGATAAAAAGGGAAGCCATTCAGTGATGTAGAAATCGTGAAAGAATACTGTTGAAGTTGTAGGATGCTTAGACCCCGAAAACATTTCAAAGTACAAACAATTGCCTCTTTCAAGAACTATAACTGACTGGCAGCATGAATTGTCCTTCAACTTAACAGAACAACTTCACACAATTTAAAAGGAAAATAAATATTATTCAATCATTTTGGATGAATCAACTGATATTACTGACTCAGCACAGGTTTTATACTTCATTCGGTTCATAAAAGAAGATTTTCTTTGCTAGGAAGAGTTACCCGCTTTGGGCATTCATGCAAAAAGAATACAGGAAACACATATCTTCAACAACTTTCAAAATAAATGTCATGAAGTTGGACTGAATTTGGTAAATTTAGCAAGTGTATGTACAGACGGTGCACCTTCCATGACAGGAAAACATGAAGAGTTTATTGCACAGACTAAAAAAAAAGTGTTAACAGATCCAGACGCTCTTATTTGTTTTTATTGCATCTTGCATCAGCAAAATCTTTGTGTTAAAGCTACTATTTTAACTGATGCTTTGCAACAAGTTGTAAGTATTGTTAACTATATTTGTGCAAATGCAATCCGGCATCGTGAATTTTGTAACATGTTAAAGTTGAACAATGAGATACTATTTAGTGTGGATTTGCTGTATCATTCTAAAATGCATTTGTTATCCCAGGAAAAGGTGTTAGCCAAAATTTCATCTCTGCAAGAACAAATAGTTAAATTTTATGAAGAACAGAATCAGCAATGTGAATTATTGAAAGATTTCTATAGGAATGCTGCATTTCTGTGTGATATATCAAATCAAAATGACTTGAATATTTCTTTGCAAGGTAAAACTAAGTCTGCATGTGATATGTGGCAAAAAAAAAATCCAAGCATTTCCAAAAAAGCTATCTTTTTTCAAAACACTTCTTCAAAAGGAAATTTCAGACGAACATTTTCCCCAATTAGCAAAGCTCATTGATGAGCAAGATAATGAAAAGGAATCATTCAAAGAATACAAAGCTGTTATAGACTTATTAATTGGAAAATACAATGAAAGGTTCACTGACTTTCAGAATCATGACATCACACTCAAATTAGCATTTCAGCCTCACCTAGTTGATATTACCAAGGCACCTAAAGAACTACAGATGAAATTGATTGAGCTCTCTATAGATGACATTTTAAAGTCATTGTTTGACGCTAAGAAATATCCAATTGAAATATGGAAAAATGCAGTAGAATACCTATGCCTTGGGCAACATGCCTGAAAAATGCTTTCTTGCTTTTCAACTACTTATTGCTGCGAATCTACTTTCTCTTACTTAACCCAAATCAAGACGCCCTTAAAGCCGCAAATGACTGATACCCATCTAGAGGATCAACTAAAGCTGTGGACCTCCATGTTGCAACCAAATATTCAAATGCTTTCCAACCAAAAGCAGACACAACAAAGTCATGAAAAAGTTCGTTAACTTTAAAATTAACAAATAGTTTTCATTTTTTGAAATTATTATGTATATAGAGTTTTACAAAATAATGTACACTTTTAAGTACATCTAATTGACGTTTCTTGAATGCGGGACTAAATATTAATGAGAGCTTCCAATATGAAAAAGTTCTTTACCCCTGGCTTAACCTATATGGCCCTCAGGTCCTTTTGCAAAATGAAACCACTTCCCCTAGAAAAACCTGGAAGAGAACGCCGTTACCCACGGAGGCTGTTACCATGGTGACTAGCCAGCGCGGTGCTTTATGCGGAGTCTGACTTTTCTGACAATGTAGTTTGACAGGAGCTACCGAGAGCTTCTGCGCAGATGGATCCTCCATTCTCGACTCCGGAAATCCATTGACCTCTGGCTCTGAGACTCAATTTCCCAGCATTTCTACTTAGATCAGGTTTGTTTCTAGTGCAGTGAGGCTCTTGAACTTGGGTTGCTAAGGCCCCTGGGAATGTAGGCTGGAAACCGGAAGTGAATGGACCCGAAGCAGGGCTGGAAATCGTAGTTCTGGGAAGACGTTGTCGTAGGCTTAGCGCCTCCAGGATGGGGACCGCAGCGGCTCGGCTCGGGGCGGAGAGCCGGTGTCTCTGGGTCGGGGCGAAGAGGGTCAGCTGGAGAGGTGAGGACCTGAGCGAGGACAGGTGTCCGTCTGAGCAGCTTCGGGGGAGGAGAGAAGCTCTGCGGAGCGTTCTGGGGCCGGGGAGAAACCCCTCCGGGATGTGCGATGTAGGGTCCGTCCGGTGGCCAGCTTCCATCCCTCCCGGGGACTTCTACCCGTGGGGTCTGGTGACCTCCTGCCTACCCGCAGCCTCGGGCCATTCATACCCGGCCATTCACATGGGTCGAAGGGGTGATCCAGATGAGGAGGACGCGGAGCAGGCAGTGTGGCCAGGGAGATGACCCGGCACCAAAGGAGAGCAATTGGAATCAGAAGCTGAGGGCTTCCTGGAGGAAGTGGCATTTGAGCCCTCCCCTCTTTTCCTCTCCTTCCTCTCCTCTCCCATCTCCTTTCTCTCCATCTCTCTTCTCTTCTCTCTCCTCTCTCTCCACTTCGCAAGTTAGTTTCCTCCTGTGTAAAAAGATCTAGTCGAACTAGATCTGGGGTTCTTAACCTGGAGTGCATGTGGAGTCTGTGGATAGATTTCAGAGGGGCCCCTATGTACTTGGATGGGGAAGATATTACATCTTTATTTTTTGCTGTCCTTTGTTGTTGTTGTTGTTTTGTAATCCTATGTACTGTATTTTTTTTAAATTTTATGCATTTAAAAACATGATTCTGAGAAGGGGTCCATAGGCTTCACCAGACTGCCGGAGGAGTCCATGACACAAAAAAGTTAAGAACCCCTAGACTAGATAATCATTAAGGGTCCTTCTAGTTCCCAAGAAGAGTTCCACAGTGGCAAATGTGGAAGGAGAGACAAGTCGGTTTTTCCATGGTCCAAAGATGGCACAGGGTAGTCAAGATGGTCACTTCACCCCTGTCCCTATACACACACATTTTCCCATTGATTTTAGGGTTATGGAGAGGGGGGTAAGGATCTTTCACAGGTGAGGGTGGCAGGGGATGCAATGTCTTCAGGTAAGGGCCAATTCCAGGGAAGACTGAAAGGAATGTGAGAAATAAATTTAGGTGAAAGGGAAGTTTGCTAGTCATAGGGTGTGGATTCCCCCGGAGAAAGAGATAATAGATTTAATTACAATTCAAAAGAGAGAGGATCAACTAAGAAAAGTCCTTTGCATTTGGTGGTGTCAGAAGACATGACATTAACCCATGACAGAACAGTTTCTGTAGAATGGTGAGAGGGAGCAAAACCATCAACTCTCATCAACTGTGTGTTTGTGCAGCTTCTCCAGACACAAACTACCCTAAGCCACAACTTTTCTTATTAGCACAACACCCATTCCTGCATCACTGTGAATGGCTTCCCCTGTCACCTGATCTCATTGCTGTGGGCAGAAGCTACATCTTTCCAAGTCAGAGTCTGACCTTCAGTGGGACCTGAAAAGTTAGCTCCTTTGCCCAAACAAAGTTTGAAATTGGATGAATCATTGAGATTGAGTGGAGAGAACACTAGACTAGGGAAGCCAAGTCGTGTCCCATCTGAACAGATTTGGCTATGTGATTTTTGGCTCAATTATTTAACCTCTGACCATCAGTCTTTTCAGCTGTAAAATGAGGGAACTGGGTTAGATAGTCTCAAAGATTTCCCACCCCCACTCCCAGCTCTAACATCTTTTGATATTTTATGACTTGCAAATTTATTGGGCTGCTACTTTTGAATTCTCCCCTTACCTTTGTGAGACTTCCACTCTGGCCACTCTAGCATCTTCAACTGTCCTATCCAAACCTGTCTTCCCTTGAAGTGCTCACTCCCTCTCCTTTCCCTGTCTACCTAATACATTTAGAAATACATTGTTTTACATACCATACTGAAAGTAACTGTATTGTGCCCATTTGGTTATTACTGTCCCTCCTCAATCCCGAAGTTTAAAAACATATTTTGATGGAGCATTACTTTACAAAGCAATTTTTCACAACTACCCTATGTGGCAGGTGCACATGTTATCCTCATTTTAAAGAGGAGGAAACGGGCTTAGAAAGGTAGTGCCTTGCTAGGGTCATACTGTTAGTAAGTTGTGATTGGTACTTGAACCCTGCAACTCTGATTCTTTCTACTACACAAGACAGTTTCTCAATATTTGTGGGTTTTTTTTTAAAGCTTGTGTCTCATTTCTTGCTTCCAGTCTAATCATAAGGAACTGTCACCTATTATCTTTTTTTTTTTTGGGTGAGGCAGTTGGGGTTAAGTGACTTGCCCAAGGTCACACAGCTAGTGGATTTGTCAAGTGTGTGAGGGCTGATTTGAACTCAGGTCCTCCTGACTCCAAGGCTGGAGCTCTATCCACTGTGCCACCTAGCTGCCCCATTGACCTATTATCTTTGGCTCCAAAAGAGCCTTGAAATGAATAGAATAATATGCTTTATATTTTCAAAGAGCTGAAACAGCTCCAGCCCAGATGCTGGCTGGCTATTTCTAAGCTGACACCCTCCCAGCCTGACAAAGTACATAGAACTGAAAATCTACTTGTATACTGAAAGCATACTTGTGCTTCCAAAGCAAATGGTGCCAGCAGCTTGCCTTTTACTTTTAAATATTCTTGCTAGTGTGAACATTTATTGTATAATGTCATTTATTAATTGAAAGCTTTCGGTTACTTCCAGGCCTCCTGAAAACAAATGCTTTGCTTTTGTTTCTTCAGAAATCTTTATTACTAAGATTGCTGGTTTTCTTGGGGATAACAAATCTTAGAATTTTAGAGCTAGAAGGGACCTTAAGCATCATGTTATCCAATGCCCCATTTTACAGAAGAGGGAACTGAAGTTCTGAAGGATTTGTTCATGTTCACATAAGCACAGTTAACAGCAAAACAAGGATTTTATGTCAGGTTTCCTGTCTAGAAGAGATCCCCTTCAAAAGTCCTATAGCTACACAAAAATGTGTATGAGTAATAGCTGTGTCCCCTGACTTTCCTGAGTGGTGTTAATTCAATTCTTTTCTCTAATTGGAGAAATTTTAGGCTCCAGTTTGCACATCCAGATGCAAGATGCTAGATGTGGTCTATCCAGAGCAGAGCATAGTGGGACTAGAAACCCCTCCTCTCCCTCTCCTCCCCCCACTACTCCTTGTTCCAGATGCTCTTCTTCTGTTCATGAAGCCTAAGGGAAGTTCAATGCCATAGCCACTAGTTGTAAATGGCAGAACCAAGATTCAGTCTCACATACTTTGACTCTAAGTTCAGTACTATTTCTACTTCACCAGGCCTCCTCCCTATCCAAGGTATTCAGAGTTACCCTAGAGAGGTGCGAGGCCAGGGGGAGGCATTTCACCTTGTCCTTAGGGGTGGGTGACCATGGAGAGGGTATTAGTAAATTTCACTTGGCCAGTGTCTACTCCTCTCATTCTCCAAGTGACCCTGGTTGTTACTGCCATCAGGCCTATTCAAAACCTCAGCCAGTCAGCTCCATCTACCCCAAGATAAGCTTGCTCAAGGGAAATGTCAATTTAGAAGAATTTTTTTTATAAGTACCTTTCATCCTTCCTACAAAGAAAGGGTTCCATTTTGTAGCTGAGCTAATCTTAAGTGGGTTCTCTTTCCATTCTCTCTCTTCTCCAGCCCATCTTTCATATAGCTAGTAAAAATCATCAGGTTTGACTATGTCACTCCCCTGCTCGAAAACCTTTGGTGGCTCCCTATTGCCTTTAGGATCAAGTATAAACACTGCCCCCTTGTAATTTGAGATGTCCTAATTTAGACCCGAACTGCCTTACCAGCCCCAGCCTCATCTCACACAGTTCTTCTTGGTTTATCTGTATTCCAGTGCATCACTCTCTGATTCCATCTATTTATGTCAGTCATCCTAAATGACTCCACTCCATCTGTTGAAATTCTTTTCTTCCTTCGAGACTTGGCTCAGGCACCATCTCCTACCTGAGGCTTTCTATAATCTCCTAGCTAAAAGTCCTCCATCCTCTAATGTTCCTAGAGTTCTTTAGAGCTTTCCTTTGCTCCTTTCATGTTCTCCCTTCTATTATGTATGCATGTCATTTCCCCTAGTGGACTGTAACCTTCTTAAGGAAAGGGATATGCTGTTTTTTCATATTGTACCCCTAATACCTAGGAAAATACCTTATACATAATATGCTATTAAAGTTTGAAGAACTGAATTCAATTCTCACCCTGGAGGGGTGGGCATAGTGCATATCTTCAGGTCTCTAATTAGGTAGGGTCTTGGGATTGAATCTACATTTCTCTCTGTGTATTAATCCTATCTATCTATCTATCTATCTATCTATCTATCTATCTATCTATCTATCTATCTATCTATCTATCTATCTGTCCATCCATCCATATCTGTACTTCACTGTTGAGGCTGCAGCCCTCCCTCCCTCAAATCAAAGTCTATTGCAAGTCATGTCATCATCTCCCTGATGTCATGACCCTCTTCGAGAACAAAGGACAACCACACATGACATAGATTCAGTCTATACCAATTCTAGGAGTTCTATTGATATTTAAGAACAGCCCATCGCTTTTCCCTGATGCTGTATTTAATGTACTTTTTTCCATTTCTGCGGAATCCAGAGGGTAGGTGATGTATTTTCTGGCTCCCTGATGCTGACTTTCTCCTGTCTGTTCTCAGCAGGTCTTGGTAGAATCTATTAGGTGTCCTACCTGGGGATCGAGAGGGTTGGGTTCCATTAATTCATTCAACTGACATTTATGAAACGTGTTCTATTTACAATGCTTACATTTTACAGGTATAAATTGGATTCCTGAGTAGAAGCACTTCATCTAGCAACAGGAATTCACCCTAGGATAAGAAGTACTCATTGGATCTTTAGGTGGTTTTATTTCCAGGAGGAAGCAAGGACTTGAAATATGCTCAATCAACTCTGATAGCAGATTCCTTAAAAGGAAATTATTCTATTGACTCTGGAGTTGGAGGAATCACTGACCATTCCACCTAGGAAAATCAGAATTTGAGTGGAAGCTCCACATCAGAGAACAGTGAGGAAGTGATTCCTCATGGATAGCGTGACCCATGTGCATGAGAAAGTAAGTGAGGGTGATCAAAGATTGTCAGAGGATAAGGAATGAGACTAATTGATCTTTCTCAGAGAGAAAGATGGAAACATAATAACTCATATAACACTTGACATTTTGGAAGCACTTTCACTTATTTTACCCTCACAACAACCCTTCAAAGGAGGGAGTTGTTATTTCCATTTTACAAATGAGGAAACTGAGAGTCAAAGAACTGAAAATGAGAGTTTGTTAAGTGGTAGAACTTTTAATTGAATTCAAGTCTTCTGACTGCAGTTTTTTTTTCTTCTATCATACCAGTGTAAGGCTGCTTGTAAAGCATAAGCTGGAAAGAGGAAGGTTAGCTTGGTTGCTGGCCCCTGCCCTCATTCACTGAGTTTTCTGGGAGTTCATTATAGGGCTCTTTATCATGTCCTCTAGCACACTGCCTCTTCTTTCAGTTTTGCAATGTACAGCAACATGTAGTCTAAAGCTGAGAAGAGAGGGACGATTTCCATCTTTCACTCATGTGGAAAATGAATAAGGATGTAGAGAATAACTTAGCCCTCTCCCTGTATCTCAGAGATCAAAAAAGTGCATTTCTAAAGTTTTATGAGTTTCCAGACTTAATTCAATAGGTCTGAGAATTGAGCTGAGTAAAACCAAGAAGGCCTCATGAATATATGGTATTTTTAGTATTTCACATACTTTCCCATATTTTTCTCATGTCACCCTTTCAGAAACTGATATTGTACAGGCAGGGTATGTAGGAGGATTATTTTGAAGTAATGAAAACTAATGTTCATGAGTGATTTGTGGGATCACTCATTACCTCATTATTAACCCCATTTCACCATGAGGATACTGACATCTAGAGGTTAAGCAATTTGCCTGGAATTGTCTAGGTGGGACAGACTAGTAGCAATGGTATTCTAGTCCCAGTTTCATGCTTTTTCCAGTGTATCATTATGCTTCTCTGATATTGTAATATCCATGAAGCTTCTTTCTCCAAGTAAGAAAATGTATTCTTCATCATTTTTTGAGGCAAGAAAGGGCATTGAAGTGTTCTCTCTCATTAAAAGCAGTTATTCATGCATAATGAAATTATATGTTCAACTTGAGGACAAAGGTGTGAATTCAAGCCATTTTCTGACTACCAGGAACAGAGCTTTGTCTTGTGCAACCTGCTATGAATGCAGGGACAAAGTCAGTCCTAATCATTAATGTCTATGGCTTTCCCCTCTAATTCTGGGTGAAGGCAGGATTGTTATCCATTTCCCTTCCCAATTACTGGGATAAGAGGTTCATGTTTAATTGATATGAGATTTCTAGCCCACTGAGTCTGGCATAAATTGGATCATTCTTCCTTATGTTTCCTTTTCCTCTTTCAGCCCTACTTTCTTAGAACTCTTTTTTTTTCCCCCAAGAAGGGAGCATAGAAGAACAGGGAATGGATGCTGTGTTCCTGATTGCCAAGTTCCAGGTAAAATGGGTTTTCCTTCCTTTTTTTCCTGTCATGCCATCTCATTTTCCAGATTATGGTTCCTTTTTCTTCATTCTGAAACATCTTTGTTCAGTTGCTCCTCCAGTAACCAAAGCCCTACTTTCTCATACCTAGGAAATTAGTTCTGTTCCGATAGATGATGGACTCTCTACAACCAAGGCTTTTTTTTTCTAAAATTCTTTTTATTTTTCACATAGTCCACCAAAACTCCCACATTGGCCATATCTAAACATGCATGTTTCATTCTGGATTTTAAGTCCATCAGTTCTCTGGCAGGAGGTAGTTGATGTGACTTATTTCCAGGCCTCTGAATTAGTGGTTTGTCATTGCATTACGCAGGGTTCTGAAGTCTTTCAATTTTTTTTTCCTATAATGTTGTCATTGTGTAAATTGTTCTTCCAGTTTTCCTCTATTTACTCTGTATCAGGTCATAGAAGTCTTCCCAGTTTCCTGTGAAATCATCCATTTCATAATTTCTTATGGCAAAATAATATTCCATTATATTCATATACGACAATTTTTAGTCATTCACCATAGGTGGGCATTCCCTTAATTTCCAGTTTGGGGCTATTATGAAAAGAACTCCTACAAATATTTTTGTACATATGGGTACTTTTCCTCCTTACTCGATTTCTTTGGCAGTGTATGCCTACCAGTGGTATAGTTATGTCGAAGGGAATATATAAATTAGTAACTTTGGGGGTATAGTACAATATTGCCTTCCAGAAATGTACAGCTCCACTAATAGTACATTAACGTACTTGTTTCCCACAGACCCTCCAACATGTTATTTTTCTTTTTGTCATCTTTGCCATTCTATTTGGTATGAGATAGAACTTCAGAATTGCTTTAATTTGTATTTATCTAATTATTGATGATTCAAAGCATTTTTTTCATAGGTTATTGATAACTTGAATATCTTCCTTTGAAAACTGCCTGTTCCTATCCTTTGACAATTCACATATTGGGTAATGGCTCTTTGTCTTACAAATCTAATCAATTCTTTATGAGATAAACTTATTGCAATGATCTTTCCCAATTATGTTTCCCTTCTAATTTTAACTAAGTTAGATTTTTATTTTTGTAAAATCTTTTTAATTTTATATAATCATAATTGCTAATTTTATTTTCTGTGATTTCCTATTGCTTGTTTAGTCATGCACCCTTCTTTCCATAGATCTGAAAGGCAATTTCTTCCTAGCTCCTCTAACTTGCTTATGATGTCACTGTTTCTGTCTAAGTCATGTATCCATTTGGAGTTTATTTTGGTAAACAATGTGAGATGTCGGTCTATACCCAATTTCTGCCGAAATGATTTCCAGTATTCCCAACAGGTTTTTTTTTTTAAATCACATAGTGAATCCTTGACCCAGTATCTGAGGTCTTTGGGTTTATTGGACAGCCAGCTATTATGTCACTTGTTATATAACTAATCTTATTCAACCTCTCAATTTCTTTTACCAAATCATTTTGGTAATCAGTATATCAAATCATCAATACCAAATCATTTTAATAATTTCACAGTATTTTTAATCAAATTATAGTATATAATATCAAATTATAGTATAATTTGAGATCTGGTACTAATAGATCTCCTTCCTTTTTGGTCACAGGTTCTTAATCTGTTTTGTTTAATGGATCCCTTTGACAAACTGGTGAAGTGTACCCTTCTCAGAGGTTTTAAATACATAACATGAAATACAATGGATTACAAAGGAAAACAATTATATTGAAATACATTTATCAAAATATTTTTTAAAAAATCCAAGTTCATGGACCCTAGGTTAAAAGCCCCTGTTCTAGGGAATATTCTTTGCTTAATTTTTGTTCTCCCTCAAAAATAAACTGGTGCTGGGTACAATAAAAGAGATAAAATCAAGAACTATCTGCTTCAGGTTACATGCCTTACCAAAAACCACTCATATCTTTAATTCTGCCAGTACTTCTTCTAAACATAAGCTCCTCTTGGTGCTTTTATCTTTACCCTGCCCCCTCTCTTCCTCACCCCTTATTGCCTGGTCACCAGGTGGCTGACCTGGCTGAGGTCATGGGGAGAAAAGGACTATGGTTGAGCAAGAATGTTTGTGTTTTAGGAATTGGTGACTTTCAAGGATGTGGCTGTGAACTTCACCCAGGAAGAGTGGAGGCAACTGAACTCTGCTCAGAGGGATTTGTACAGGGATGTGATGTTGGAGAACTACAGAAACATGATCTCACTAGGTAAGGATGGCTTTGCCCTGAGGTTAAAAATCTTCCCTGTTTTTAGAAAACACATCTCTTCCTTCAGTGTGGTAACACTGCATCCTAGAGAATGAACTAGAGTTACCTTTAAATTTTGTGGTCCCGTTCATGTTTTAGTATCACTGTATGTCTTAAGTATGTTCACATACCAGAAGCCTGTGGGAATTACCCTGAAACTACAGAAACCTTTGTGCAACACTGAAAGTAGAGTCATGCTTGTCAGGATTGGGTAAAGGGCAGGATTTCATGAGACTTTAGCATGTGTCAAGGCTAAAAAGAGAAAATACGCCCCAGGCAGAGATGCTTATACATTTATAAATCAAAATAAAGGCTAGAGAGGCAGCAGGTAATAAGGAGAGACATCACATGGTGAATCCAAAAATGTCTTGGTCAAGAAAATAAGAGTGGGGTCTAGAGCTCCCTTGAGTAGCTCAGAGAAACAATAGAAGAGAACAATCCAGAGGGACATTGAGGAGTCTGTGTCTGAGGCTTCATGGACAAGGAGGAGACCATCCACCAGGAACTTCATCAGCTTCTTCTTTGCAGCCTTCTGGAGACTCTCTTCTGTGGCTTCCAAACCCATTCAACAAGTAGTTATTAAATACCTATGTGTGCAAGGGACTGGGGATACAAAGACACAAAGGAAAGCAACCTTACTACCCAGGAGTTTACATTATATTTGTAAAAAGGTAAATATAGAGGTGGTAATTGGCAGAGACTTCAGGCATACCACATTTCCTCCCTCTTCTCCTACCTTTCTAACTACCCTGTTTCCATCTCTTGCATCTTTTCCCTTAATGCAGGTGTTTCTCCAAATGTCTATTCTTGATTCTCTTTTATACTGTTTCTCTTGGCCATTTCTGTCTCCCCTGCAGATTCCACTGTCACCTCCATGCAAAGGATCACCAAATCTACACTTGCTGTCCTGACCACTCTTCTGAGCACCAGATCCCCATCTTTAGCAGAAACAAGTCATTTCAGACTAACTTTATTGCCTTTTTTAATAGGGTTATATGATCAGGCGATTGATATAGATATAGCTTAATTAGCAAAGCATTTGACAAAGCCTCTCATGCCTTCTGAACAAAATTGAAGTGGCCTAAACAACAGTACAGTTAGGAGGATTCAGAATGAGTTGAATGGCCAAACCCAGAAAATAGTCATTGATGGTTCAGGGTCAACACAGACAAGTATCACCTAGACAGCACTGGGGAGGTACATGGTGTGTGTGGGTAGGCTGCAACAAATGTTTAAAAAAAACAATCATGGAAGAGAAGCACAGTAAAATATGTGATCAAAGAAATATATGAGCAAAAAGAAGATTGAGTTAATCAGGTGGCAAAAGCAAGGCACAAAGACAGCCTATGGTATCCTCACAATGTCAGAAGAAGGCAAGGAAGACCTCCAGCATGTTGCATAAACACCCTGTGGTGAACTTATAAGAAGCCATGGTAATAGTCACATAGGATAAGCAGGCAGAGATGGCTTGCAATTCCCTTCATTGGAGGAAATACCCACACTTGTGAATCTGAATTAAATATATAGGCATAAAGTCTTACATGGTTTCAAAAAATCAATTTCATAATTGCAGGATGGAGGACTGATGGCTAGATATTTGTTTGCCTGAAAAAGATCTGGGAATCTTAATGGAGTATAAATAAGAGGGTTGGATTTGATGGTTTTAAAGATCCCTCCCAGATCCAAAACTATGATCCTATGAAATCACTCAAAAGATCACCCTAGCCATCCATACAGGAAAAACCAAGTGGATGAGGAATACATATTACCCAGATTATGACAAATAGTTGGCCCATTGCATAAGTCTATTGGTATATACAAAGGGGTTCCAAAATTCTTAGCGTAGTTTTAAGCTTAATAGCTGAATAGTTTAATAGCTTTAATAGTTTAAAACTACGCTAAGACTTTTAGGACACCTCTTTTGGATAAGTGTTGCAGGTGGACAGTAAATTAGGCTCACAGCCGAATAGGAAAAAAACAAACTGGGTAACACTTAGGAAATTGTGCACTGCTTTCAGTGATCCCAAGTTGCTTCCAGCTCAAGTCCCTATTCTATAAATCCTTTTTCAATTGTTCTAGCCTAAATCAATCTCTAAGTTCCCTCCCAGCTGTACAATACTATGATTCTATGACAATGCACCCCTTTCATTTCAATTCCAAGTTAAGCCATAATTTTTTTAAACATTTAAATACCACAAGTTTTTAAAAGAGAGATATAATATTAAGTGTTTTGACCACATCCCCACTGGTGTATATTTTCTTCCTCGATTTACTTAATTATTACCAGCTGTGGAATGTTTATATTCATTCTTTTGGTTCTGGGATGAGTAATTCCTAAGCCTCCTTGGGCCTCAATGAAGGTGTTTGCTTATTCTTCCCATTCCTAGGTGAAAGGACTTCACTTTATAGAGTTGAAAATAGGCAGCTTCCTTACTCTTTTCCTTATTCTTTGTTTACTCAGGCTGGGGCTTCTCACCTAAAGTCCAAGTTCAGATAGTTTTATACATCTGAGATTCCCAATTGTCAGTGAAAACATAAATTAATTCCAACAAACCTGCTACTTACTGGTAACATAACCCTAATTCTCCTTTCAGAGATCTCTGTACCTTCTTCTGAGTTTTATGATACCCTTTTCACTTTTCTATAGACTAAGAGAGGGAACAAGATTTATTAAGTTATTACTTTGTGCCAGGCACTATGGTAAGCACTTTTCAAGTATTTTATTTTATCCTCATAACCCTGAGAAGGTAGGCGCAATTATTATCCCCCTTTTACAGATGAAGAAACTGAGGCAGAGGTTAAATGACTTGCCCAGGGTCATACAACTAGTAAACGTATGAAATTAGATTTGAACTCAGGTCGTCCTTACTCCAGGCCCAGGGTTAGGACTGAGCCCTGAAACAGCTGTTTGGTCCCCAGCAGAAACAGCAATATTTTCTTTATGTGTTGATTAGGGCTTTCCATTTCTAAACCTGATGTGATTCTCCAGTTGGAGCGAGGGGAAGAACCATGGATGCTCAATCTAAAGAGAACTGCAGAGAGAGAGATCCCACAATATATGTCTATTGGTAAGTGGAAAAAACCAGGCAGATGAGATTCACTAGAAGTAATAGCTCAACAATTAATTTGGGAAGCTCTCAGGGGCTCCAAGGACTGCTGAAATTGTTATTGCCACGGACCTACTGGAAGAGTCTCTTTTCCATTTTGGGGGAGAAGGGGTGCCATTTTTTTCTCATATTTGATTCTTTTGCTTCCATCTTCATGGATTCCTTTCCTAGCTAGGAATTCTTGCCCTGTTCTTGCTCTTTGAAGGGGCTACTTTTCTTTATTCACTAGAAGTTCTTTTCCCAAGTTACACTCTATTCTCTAACCATTTTGAAAACTCCATCTGGTCATTGTTCCCTTCCTTACCCTTACAATGCTGGATAAGCTTTCTATGTGTACACCTTACTTAATGGGCTATGTACACCAACCTACCCTGCCTCCTACTTTCTTTTCTCTCCCAAGATTACAGGGCAGTTTGAGAGTCTGCCAATGTCCGAGATGCATAATTAGCATTACTTTCAGTTTTATTATTATTCCTCTAATACGGCAGTTTCCTTTCTCCTATAGAATCTAATCTAGTAAGCATGTATTAACAGGGAACACTTGACATTTGTGTTTTCTCTTTGTTTTAGATTGGGAAAATAGGCCTGAAACCCAAGAGTCAACTCTAAAACAAAATAGGTCTGAGGAAGCAGAATCACCAGAGACATTAATGGGAAAACTCAGAGGTGACATTCCTGTGGAACTTGTATTTGGAAGAATTCATGTGCCTGAGAGCAGATTGGAAGGGCAAAGGGGAGGCACTTCAGGGGAAACTTGGAAGAAAGCTTTTTCCCAAGAAAAAGGTTTCAGGCAAGTAACTATGACTCGCAAGAAAACTTCCACTAGAGAGAGAGTCCATGTATGCAATGAATGTGGAAAAACTTTCAGACATCACTCAGCCCTTGTTCGACATCATATAATTCATACAGGAGAGAAACCCTATGTATGCACTGAATGTGGAAAAGCCTTCAGTCAGCACTCAGCCCTTATTAGACATCACATAATTCATACTGGAGAGAAGCCCCATAAATGTCATGAATGTGGGAAAGCCTTCTTCATCCGTTCTTCCCTTATTCAACATCAGAAAACTCATACTGGAGACAATCCCTATGAATGTAATGAATGTGGTAAAGCCTTCTTTGGTCTCTCAACACTTACTCGACATCAGAGGACTCATACTGGAGAAAAGCCCTATGAATGCAGTGAATGTGGAAAATGCTTCTTTGATGGCTCATCTCTCACACGACATCAGAGAATCCATACTGGAGAGAAGCCCTATGAATGTAGTGTGTGCGGGAAAGTTTTCAGTAGCAAGTCATCTGTCATCCAACATCAGCGACGACATGCTGGCGAATAAATGAGGGCACATAATCGATTTGGAGAAATCTTTCATTAAGGCCTGCCACTTCGTTAAATTTCTAATAATCACGTTGGAACCAGACATTTCATAAAGCTTTTTAAAAGATTTCCCATATTAAATCTATTGTTTGAACTTGCTGCCCTCTATGGTTACTTATTCAATTTCTCTTTTGCTACCAAACTACTTTTCTAATATTTTAAATTTTATTAACATATTTTTATGTAATCTTCATTTCTGAATATATACCTCCCTCCTTCCCTACCCAGAAAATTATCCCTTGTAACAAAGAATAAAAAGGAAAAGTGGTTCAGCAAAACTAACCAACTGAGCCTGATGGTACATAGGCCGGTAAGTTACATCCATCATTCCCAAACTTTGCAAAGATGGGGGGGGGTTGAGGGAAAATTTTCTTAGCTCCTTTTCAGGGACACTTTTGGTCATTATAATTAATATAGCATTCAGCTTTGTGAGTTTTTTTTTCTATTTTGTTGTCATTTTGTATGTGTGTGTGTGTATATATGTATATGTTTTATATATGGTTCTGCTTACTTTACTTTCTGTCCTTTCATATAAATCTTCCCTTGCCTCTCTGAATTCTTCATAGTCATCATTTCTTATGGCTGACAAACTTTTTTTTAAAGTATTAGAAAAATCTTTATTCAAATAGTATGACAAGAACAATGATTACAAAACATTTGCCTAAGAAACCGGCATCTGCTCCCACAAAGATAAACAGAGCCTGGGGATAGAGAGAGTAGGATTATAAAGACATTAGGTTTATTGTAATACCTAATCTTTTGGCAATACCTAATCTTTTAGCTCTGTTTTGGCCTGGTATTTATCTTGTATATAGTCTATGTATTCTTTTTAACATCTGTATCTCCCTGATAGAATGTGAATTCCCTGAGGGCAGGCACTATTTTTTAAAAAATATATTTTCACATTGGTCATGTTGTAAAGAAGAATTAGAACCAATAGGAGGAACCACAAGAAAGAAGAAAGAAAACAAAACAGAAGGAAAAAAAAAGCAAATAGTATGCTTCGATATGCATTCAAACTCCATAGTTCTTTCTCTGGATGTGGACAGCATTTTCTATCATGACACTTTTGGAGATGTCTTAGATCCTTGCATTACTGAGAAAAGCCAAGTCTACGAAAGTTAGTCATCACACAATGTAGCTGTTACTGTGTACAATGTTCTCCTGATTCTGTTCATTTCACTTAGCATCAGTACATACAAGTCTTTCCAGGTTTTTCTGAAGTCTGCTTGCTTATCATTTCTTATAGCACAATAGTATTCCATTACATTCATATACCAGAACTTGTTCAGCCATTCCCCAATTGATGGGCATCCCCTCAATTTCCAATTTTTTTGCCATCACAAAAAGAGCTGATATAAATATTTTTGTATATGCGGGTCCTTTTCCCATTTGTATGATCTCTTTGGGATACAGCCCTAGAAGTGCTATTGCTGGGGGCAAACGGTATGCACATTTTTATAGCCCTTTGGGCATAGTTCCAAATTGTTCTCCAAAGGACAGGCACTATTTCATGCTTGTCTTTGTATCGCAGGGCCTAGCATAGAGTAAGTGCTTGCTGATAGGCAATTGCTTTTATGGGTGCTTACACCTAGGTTCATTGATTTACTCATTCAACAACCACTTGTAGGGGACAGTTAGGTGGCGGCCCAGTGGATAGAGTGTTAGCCCTGGAGTCAGGAGGACCTGAGTTCAAATCCAGTCTCAGACATTTGACACTAGCTGTGTGACCCTGGGCAAGTCACTTAACCCCACCGCCTAACCAAAATAAAAAAACAAACAACAAAACAAAAACAACCACCATTTATTAAACTCCTATCTTATGTAAAGCATTATGTTAGTTTGCAAAGAGATTACAAATGAAATTAAGACATGGTTCCTATCGTCATTGAGCTGGAGGTAAACCACACAACACACTAATCTACTATACAATAGGTTTAGTACAGAAAAGAACAAAGTGTGACAGGTACAAAACACTCTGAAAATGTTGAAGGAAGAAAATATTATTTCTGCTGTTCCTCTCCCTTGCAGCCTTCCTCCTTTCCTTCTATTAGGCTACCTGACATAAAACCTATTATGTCCCCTGCCATGCGGGTGAGGGTGGCCTCCTTTGATTGGCTGCTTGAGTCTTTACAACTGGTGAGATTGAGCCATTCACTCTCTTTTTGGTGACTCCTATCTGCTGTGCCCAATATGGATGCTATGAACTGAATCAGGGAGAGGGGAAACACTTCCCTTCCCTTGCTACTTTTCTTTTCTCCTAGCTCTGAAAAATGGGTCTAGTGTTGTTTCTGGTATGTATCATTTGTTTCCAGTTTCAGTGCCGGAGGTGAACTCCGCAGAACTGGGAGTTTGAGCCATGGCAACCTTGGAGCCAGGGTTCCATGCCAGCCTGCTGAAGCCTAGGTTACAGAAGGTTATGACATTGGGAGGTTTGAAAAGTCAGAAAAGCCACCACAAGTCCAGAAACTGGAGTCTATAAAGTCTGATGGTAGTTACAGTAGTACAGTGAGGAGTCAGCCCTGAGGACAGACCTTCTAGGCCCAGCCATTCAACAGTCAATCAGCCTGGCAGCTGAGACATTGTGTCCAGCCAGCAACGGAACAATTGGCTATTCCACACCCAGAAGTGAATTTGGTAGAGACTTTGCAAAGGGAGAAAAGGATTTTCATTGCCAGGTAACCCTACCCTCCCACCCCCGCAGGGGGGATGTTTGGTAGGAATCACTTTTGAGTGCACACTCCCCAGGGACAGAGTGTGAAGAGGGGAGTGTGATCTCAGCTGTGAGTCTGTTGTAGTTTGGCCATTGCTACACTTTCTCAGTAAATATCCCTTTGTAAAAGCTAAGTGATGTTGATTGATACTGTCGCTTGTTGGTCATTTGGTATTGGGCTGCACAGATGGGGGCTCATGACAAACAGTATCAGAAACTACCTCTTACTTCCACAGGTAGAGAAGTAGTGTTGCTCTCTGAGAGACTGAGAGACCCTTCAAGGACTGGAGTACAGGGCAGGGTCATCTGGAATGAATTCACAGACTCAAGCATTCTTTAAGTCAAGGTGGCAAAGATTTATTGTTATGCTATACAGTGGGCAAGGATTCTCAAGGAACCTGCCATGGTGGGCAGAGCTCCTCAGGAAACTTGCAACCTAACAGGAATGATGCTAAAGCTTATATAGGAAAAGTAGTGAATTATGTGGCAAGTATGCCAATTTGGTGATAACATACAATTATGTCATTCGCTACTAGAAACCGCAGGGTTTCCTAAAGGGTATATTTTTGGTCTGTTATGTCTGAAACAAGATAGCTTCAGGAGTTGACATCTATAGCTTGACCTCTGGATTGTATATGGTAACTGTGGGCATCAGGACTTGATAGTTCTGCTGGTACAAACTAGTCCTGTTCATACAAAGGAAATTCTACAGAGGTCAGCTTGTTCTTGTAACAGGGAGAGATAGTTTGCCTCACTGGGTCCACTCATGAGTTATTGCCATAGACAGGGTCCTTGGGCTGGTGGGAAACTGCCAGAGACTGTGTTTCTGAGGCCAAGAAGAAACTGGGATGCAAGCACAGGCACCCAAGTACCCCATCAGTAGTAGCCATGCTCCAAGGAGCCAAATATGATTATGAGTTGTGATTGAAAAGCGCATAGTGTGCACTATACTCGATTATTGCTTGGCGACAGAAGACGAAAATTTGGTTAGTAAGCACAACATAAGGAGAAGTCTCTCAGAGAAGACCCTGCTGATGAACCAAGAAAATGGAGAAGTCAAAGAATAGATTTCAGAGTTGTGTTAAAAGAAAGGCTGTAACTCTCTCTGCCCTGTCCCTAGTTGCCATACAGATTTGGTTGGCCAGAGAGGCCTAAGTTCTTTCTCTATTGCCTCCCCCTGCGGTAAGAGGGAGAAGAAAGCAAAGGAAAAGCATTAGACAGAGTCCAAAGAGTCCAGCTCCCAGACTTTATTGATAATGACTTCCTAAGGATTATATGCCTACCAGTGGGTCAGAGACTATGCATTTTTTCACGTCACATTACCTTCTATTACTCAAGCTTCTTGAAACCAAGGACTGTTTCATTTCTTTGCCTTTGTATCCCCAGCGTCTTGGACTTATAGGTGATTCATAAATATTGATCTGTAGATTATTGTCCTCTCTTTTCATATGAGTATCCTCAGAGGTTAAGGAACCAGTTCCAGATTAATTAGTTGCTAAATGGTTTAGCAGGGACTCCAGTCTCTAAGCCACCAGGTACAAACATCAAACACATTTAGGTAAAAGGAAGAGACTACGACTCACTCTTGCTCCGAGGCATCCTTCCCCAGAAGCTAGTACCAAATCACGCGCTGGCAGAGTGCTGGGTCGGTTTCCATGGTAACTGTGATCCACCTCCCGCTCACACCTCCCTCCACCAAGTGTTTTAGGGTCCAAGCTGAGCAGGGGCAGCTCCTCTGATGGTAGCAAAGCCCCAGGTTCCGAACGGAGGTCAGCCGGAGGTATAACTGTATGCGGCCGGGGAAGGCGGAGGCACGAGACCCTCCGCGAAGTAAGCAACGGCGCGCAGTCTTTCACAATTTGGCATTGTTGGGGAGTTGTGGGAAATGGGAAGGTGGAAGCCGGACGTAGTCGAGTCCGAAGGATTCTGGGAATTGTAGTTTGGTTAGTAATGGAGGGTGGATCCTTAGGGCCAAGGGCAATTCCGTTTCCGGCCTCACAGTCCTTTTGTTAGTCTGGTCCGGCTCCCGCGTGGGAGGTGAGTTAAGCCTGGAGAGTGTGTGTGTGTAGGTGTGTGCCCTCGAGGTGGGGGAGCGGGAGAAGGGGTCAGAGACTGGAGGAAGAAGCTCCCGGTTCCCTCTCGTGAGGGCGAACCAGACCTTAATCCCTCGACCGGAGCCTTTGGCCTCTGATTTAGCGCTTGGGGGAGGGGCTGAGCGAGAGGATATGCGCGTGCGCC